ACTCTATCAAATGGTTTGTTAGTTTCTAACTTTCCCTTATTCCCTTGCTGACGGCCAGAGGGGCTCACTTACTTCGAGCGCAGGACGTCAAAAGGAACAATGTGTAAAGATGAACTCAAATGTAGCCTTTGTCTGAGCATATTCGACTTAGAGAAAAAAAAAGAAATCTGTGAACTCCATCAATCCGCTCCTGTCAAGTTCCCAACTGTAGAGAACAGACTGTTAGAGCAGAGCGACAGACAATAATGTGCTTGCTAGTTCGAATTGCAACTTTTTTTTTTTGCCAGTCTGCCAGTTTACTCTCACCGCCCCTTTTTTCGTTAGCTGAGGAAAAAGCAGCTGGGGCTCGTCGCTAAGCCCGGCTGATTCACCGTCTCCCCAGACCTCCTTTGTATCTCACCGGCTAATAGGGCTGGCCTGGCAGCTTCACACGGGAAACAAAAAGGCAGCTGGGAAACAGACAGGCTGGCAAAGTATACAGAAAGAAGCACACAGGATGAGCGACAATGCTGGGTCCATAATAACAAAAGCATACAGCACGAACATGGATGGGAGAAATCAAGAAAACAATCAAATATATCAAATTACTATCATGCTATAAGATATTTAAGATTTGAAGGGACTGGTGTGTTATTTTCCCCTCACCTGGTTGACCAGACACTCAAAGATTGTGTCTAGAATCGTTATCTTTTCTTGCTTCATTTATTGATTTATTTTTCCCGCAGTTTGAGGACATGATGTACTCTAAACATGCGGATAATTTAATATAAAAGTCCCCTTTCCTGCACACCTGTAGGTCCCTCCCTTCATCCCTGCTGCCCGCCTCCACAACTGCACCTCGTCACCTACTAGTGTCCTGGGTCAACATCTTACGTTGTCTGGCTATAGTCTGTCTGCTGGTGATTGCAAGCTCCCTCAGAAGAACCGGGCCGGTCTGTTTGCATTCTGATCCGGATCCTGGCGATACAAAATACTACCGTGATGTGATGACGTTTCGTCTAAAAGTATTTTTTATAATTTTCTTGTGAATCGCAGTTCTGAATTGCACAACCTGAGTACTATATCCTTCACATAGCTAGAGCCACAAAATGACCAATACACAAACGTCTGAAATGAACACATCCTGGATGATTGACATGACAGACAGACTTAATCCCTCGAAAATAAATGCAGCCTGGAAGGAGTTCAAAACTACTAAACCCCCTCCACTCTCCTTGTTAAAGCCCGCATCCATGGTCAGTCGGCACAGGTGTTTTCACTTATTTCCCCTGATTGAACTTGTCTGATCCATCAACATCACAAGACAAACTCCTGACAGTTGTTTGTCTGCAGAGTTGGTCCTGTGAGAGTTAGAAATAGTGTCCATTAACAACATAGCACGACAGTATATACTCCTAACCTTCAATCTATCTGACCAAATGAGAATTTGCTAACTAAAGAAAGTTGCAGATCTCCGCCAGGTGTGTTTGCAGCAACCACAGCTTCAATGTATGATTGCATGAACTCAACCCACCATTGGCTAACCACCGTCTAGACCAGGGGTGGGCAATTATTATTCCCAAGGGGCCACATGAGAGACAGGAACTGGAGGGCCGGACCAATAGACTGAACTCAATCCTGCCCAATATTATTCCACCTCTTTATAAAAAGCAGTACACTGTATGGTTTTGATAAGCTGCGAGTGGTAAGAGTAAATGTTATGATCAGTGGTGGAATATGACTAAATATAATTTGCTTAAGTACTGTACTTATGTACAAATTCAAATTCAAAGTATTTCCATTTTGTTCAACTTTGTACTTCTACTCCACTACATCTCAGAGGGAAATATTGTACTTTTTACTCCACTACATTTGTCTGGCCGCTTTAGTTACTAGTTACTTTGCACATTATCATATTTCAAACCCTTCCTAAAGGGTATAAAGGAGTTAAAATGAGCTCCACCTTAAAAATCTGCAGCAGGAATAATGATCCAAACAAATATACACATGTAATATCCATATGTAATAGTAAAACACTGGGAGGGATCATGTTTCTGCAAAATTAATACTTGTATTACTATTGTTTGTAGTCCAATTACCTCATTCTCTGTTTGTCAGTTCAGTGAAGTCAGGTTGAATGTCTGAGGTGGAGATGTGAAGCTTAGCTAGCAAAGCCTCAGATGTCCGTCAATTTACCTACGTTAGAAAAACACTTCTTTTAGTTTTATTCCTAATTTCCCGTTGACGTCCCGCGGGCTGGTCTCACAGATCTGGTCTAGACCAGCGGGCTGCAAGGCGTCGTAAAACACACTTCAAACTCAAAAACAAGCGATGATGAATGCAGGCAATCATTGGCTGTTATTTGATAGCAAACTGTCGGTTGACAGACTCACAAGTGCACACTCACTCACTCACTCACTTACTCACGGACGGCCGCACCTGCACACACGCGAACAAATCCCCTGCATGATTTCCCTGGCGTGGATAATAAACTGCTGCAATGATACATCTCTAGCGCACTTGGACGTGTACAAAATGTTTCCTTCCAGGAAGTGGAGCGAAGGAAACGACTCAAACTGAGACATTATCCTCAGGAATTGATTGTCAACAGGATGAGGTCTTTAACGTCGATTTTGAAGGACGCAATTATCCCCAAAGGAAGCCACAGCGGGTGTTTGTGCAAATAATAAAGGGCAGTCAGATTTCAATTTGTAAACCTGAGACACATTTTAATGCCAGGTGACAAACATCACACAATCTAAACACCATCTCGATCAAAGACGCATGAATGCTTTGTGTAACACACGGATAAACCGGCAAGGCAGACCTTTTCAGAGAGACACGCAAGTCAGAGAGAGAAGAAAGGCGGACGGGGAAAGTAGTGACGGATTCAATTTGTCCCCTGTGCTGTTCATACTGTTGGCAACAGGAGATGGAGACGAATGTACAGTAAGAGAGACAGACATCCAGTGAGCGAGACGGAAACATATTTATAGAGATTTGTGACCGATCCAGTGTGTCACCTCTGCTAACCACAGCTGAATGTCACACATATGCAAACGTCCATACAACACACACACACACACACACACAGTCCACAGTCTCACGTTTCATGCACGCGGACTCGCACACAAAACACGCGCTCCTCCAATCGCTCTCTCACCTCCGACGGTTGCTAAGCAACAGCACATGTCTTGTTTACAGAGCAAGTAATATAGTTGATCTCCAAGGGGAGAGGAGACAGAGACAGATGACACAATCTCCCTCAGATGGAGAGATAAAAAAGAATAAAAGGGGAAAGGTGGACCGTCCCTTCGCAGGCAAGTGAGCAGTGATGCAACGAGGCCACTGCTCCCCCCCCCCCCCCCCCGGTGTATCGCGCGTTGTGAAATATGGAAGAAATGTTTTATGATTTAATACTGTGCTGCAAATCCAAACACATCCGTCAGGATCTCTCTTGCGTTGAAAGGAACGGCTGGTGACACGCAGATTCACTGTCATGTATCATCCTTGTTTAGGTTAACGCTGAGGGCCAAAGAGATAAAAACCCATTTGAACTTCCCTTTTCAATGGCAATGTGATCGAGGAGGAAGATGAGTGACGAAGTCACACAGCCCCAAGTGGCACATGTAAGCTTTTCGTGGTGTCAAGTATGTTACAACAGATTACTATTGCCAATGTTTGTATATGCACTTGATGGTTATGCCTCCGTTACTAAGAGTTCAGACTGAAAACAGTAAAAAGTGCAAGATGCTGCTGCTTAAAGGTACTCTGAGAAATGTTGTGTTGATTTTGGCGGTCCCTGTGGACAAAAGCCCCAGAGTCCCCTTACAAAACTTCCAATATCACTGCAGCAGTGTGACTGTCCGCCCTGCTCAGTCCTGGTCCTGACAAAGCATTAAGGATAACTGTAAAGAAATAGCCAATCTTCTCGCTGATGGTCTCGTTTACTAATGTAGGTCATATAGAGGCATCGGTATTAAATTGAGTCTGTTTCATAACCAGTTAAAAGTTCCTCACAGTAACTTTAAAGGTACAAATGAAAACAACGGACCACATTCCAGTTCGGTGGATTAGAGCAACAGATCCACGAGATGCTAAATAGAACACTATGTAGCAGTTAACAAGATTTAACAATGCTGGAAAGTTATCATGGCAACAATCAGTTCATCTACCATATCAATTACAGGTCACAAGTGGCTAAACATGCGCTTAAAAGTTCAACTTTTTTGCTGGTCTCATTAAAAATGGATGAGTGGGCTGCGTGTTTACAAGACGGTGATATTTTCTGCCTGAGCATTGCGTGACTTTGAATGTCACTGAATGTACTTTGGTCTGAATTACAGCGGAAACAATTTCTTGCATATGCTACTGCTTTCCATTTTTATTTATAGTCAAAGCTTAGGTGCACGTCTTTTAGAAGGCCGGGGTTTATACGCAAAAAGATTCACCAGCTGCCATTCCATCAGGGTTTTTTTGCTATACCCGTCCTTCCAGGTAAATAATTTGCACACCACAGTATGCCACAGGTAGGCTTTCTGTGGACTACTGATAATCTGGTCTCTGCCTTCATTAGTTATTTAACATCCTGAGCTAAATTCTCACTCCTGATGGACATTTTCAGTCGGCCTTGGTGAGGTTTCTCTGGTGCAAGTGAACTGAACTAAATCAGTAAATGCAAGACAATACTTCAGACATGCTTGTTGCGCATGTGTCCTCAATCAACAACTCTCTCCAACTGCACTGACTTGTGGCACTGACTTGCGTGTATCTGTCTGGGTACATAGTACGGTTAATTGGTCAACCTGCGAAGCACCTGAGCAGTTATTTAGCTGGTCTAACGTAGAGGCAGTACTGTACTTAGACTTCACTTACTAGTCTAGGGATACTAAGATGAGCATGGTTCAAATTGATAGAGATTTAACTCCGAAACAGCTGCATACTTAATAAGTGTCTCATTATGCCTCTCATTACACGCTGGCCACTGCAGACTCTGTATTGCGGTGGACGGTTTCACTCACATGACCGTGTTGATTCCGGAAAGCTGCTGGAACATCTGAAGACCGCAGCCCACCAGGAGGGCTCGCCGAGTGGAGGGGTAGGTCAGCATCCTCCAAATCACGGGGCCTTCTGCAGACACAAGCAAAAGGCACAGCCCAAATGAATTCTTCTGATATGAAGGCACTAAGAGAGGTTCATTCCAAAACCAGCTAACCACCATAACAAGAACCAAAACCCCAGAGAATAGTAGTGTTGATGTTTCTGATTTCTGAGTTTAAACATAATATCTTTTGGGACTGCATATTAATATAGTACATATGGGTCCATTTGCCAATTATTACTTTGAAACTTATTTCACGTTTTAACTTGCTTTTGCATGAAATGGATGAAGTGCTCGAAAGAACACAACAAACTTTAAAGAGAAAGTTAACTTTTCTTGCAGAGAGTTAGAGGAGACGATCAATCCTTCTCTGATGTCTGGACTTTAAATGCTATGCTACCACCAGAAGCTGCTTAGCTTAGCATAAGACATAGCATAAGATACCGTATGATTAGTGTTGATTGGTGAGCCTTAGAGGGGCTGGTAGGCAGATTCAGTGACCTTCAGATGGAGCAGAACTATCCGTTTCTCCCTTTTTGCAGTCTTTGTGCTAAGCTAAGCTAAGTGGCTGCTGATATTCATATATGCTGACACCTTGATATTCAGCGTACAGACATCAGACAAGTGGTATCGATTTTCTCATCAAACCCTTGGATAGAAAGGAAACGAGTATATTTCCCACAATGTTGAACCATTTATTAAACACAAGTAAAAACACATTTACTTTAATGGGAATTATCAAGAAACACCAAAATATCCAGTATGTTTATATTTCAAAAGTACACACAGATAAATCACATGTCGGAAGAACTAAGTTGGAGCTTCTGTGACAGCAACCGTCTGCCGTCCTGACATTTCTTTGCACATGTCACTGAGGCTTTGTTAGCTCCAGAGATGCTGCTCTGTTACTTTGACCTCTGACCTCCCCTGCGGCGGTGCTGCTGTAAAAAGTGTAAAAAGCAATGTCTCTCTGGAGGATCAGCATAGCACAGTAGCTGCCTTCTATTCTCTCTCCTCCTATTCCTCAGATGGTGGATATCTCAGTTTGGGATGAAACAAATATTTGAGTCCCAATTGGCTCAGCAACAGAATGCACACTGTGATCTCCAGCACACACACACACACACACACACACACACAGGCACACAGACAGACCCCTTCTTGGGGAGGAGAAGTCTTAATGGGATGACAGAGCGGCTGGACAGGCACGAAGCTGTCGGATAAAGAGGGAGACGCACACGATGCCAAGAGATCAGACAAACAAGCCTGAACACACACAGGTAGGACTGTGTGCCACTGTGTGGCTGTGCAAACACAAGCACATATAGACATATCATAAAAAAGGCTACAGACACACACACACACACACACACACACAGGCTGATTATTTGGGAGCAGCTGTGTGTGGGAGGACTCTGGGCCAGTGAACATCTCCTTTAGCAGTTTGACGAGCAGACCAGAGTCTGTAAAGGAGGCTCCCGCTGACACACAAACACACTCAAGCTTTGCTTTTCCACGGCCGACTTCTCAAAGGAGCGTTATCGTCTTTGATTCCCCCTCGATTCTGAAATGCTGAAAGAGGCTTTTTCAGCTTTCAGCGAAAAATCCTCCGCATTTTTTCCTCGCAGAAGCCACTTGTTGTCAATTTCAAGAGAAGCAGTTTTCAAAGACCACTCTGAGGCATCCTAATACATAACTTAAGTCTCAATTTCACACCTGAACTACATAAACAGGTTCTGCACATTTTCGTTATGTTTATGTTATTAAATTAGCAATCATTAGATGGAAAGTTTTAGCCTTATCTGCTTTCTATTTAGGCTAATTCAAGACAATTTATATGTAATTATACCATCTGTTCCACGAAAAAAACAGAAGAGTTTGTTCAATGACTGGTCCCCAACTCTGATGCCACACAGAAAAGTACTTCAACATTAGCATGGATTGGAAAACAGGGAGAAAATTTATAAATATCACAGTTTACAGCTCAATTATATGCAGGGCTTCCAATGAGGGACTATAATGTAATTAGTGTTGCATCACAGAGCGATAAAGATAGAATAGAGTTCTCGAATGGCAGCCAAGACATCGGTTAAGCCTTTGTGATGATAGCGTGTTTATTACTGACAGCCACTGACTACTGTGTGTTACCATCCGCTGACTCGACATATTTGTGCCGTTGTAGCTATAGTGAACAAATGATGGCTTTGGTTTGAGGGTGCTAAAGTTAAATATAGCCAAATAAGGTCAGCTTTCTTTACATTCTTTCTTTAAATGTCAACTGTTGTTTAAATGTATGCTTTAGCCTGCTTGGCTTACAAATATTTTTGAAAAATAGTGCTAAAAAACGCAAATAATAGAGGCTTGTTTTTGAAAATTACAAGTACTTTGGGGTCTTTGTCAACAAGCTACTGTCAGTCTCCGTTTCAGCTTTTCAAAGTCAAGTTTTAATGTGAAGCATGGCTCTAACCCCAGACAGTGAAGAGGAAGTGATGCGTTTATGGGCAGAGCCATTTCCATGGCACTAACGTGGTGGAGTTTGATTGGTTGATCCCTGGAGACCAGAGCAGAGGACCGTTATCTGATTAGCTGGGAGGGAAATCAGGATTCATGGGCCGGAGTCAACTATGGAGAGAGTGGAGACCTGATGGCTGCCCGAAGGAGAGCTAAATTTACTCGGGCCGAACACACACAGCCATGGAAACACACACATAAACACATTCAGATACAATCAATCAAACAGACACAATGTCTTACTCCCTATTGCTGCCTTGGGGGTTAACGATACAGTACATATATGCTTCTTTCTACAAAAAGTTAGAATGCAAATAGACACATTTACACTCATTTGTATACGCCCAGACACACCGTTTTTAAATACACGCACGAACACATACACAAAGGCTCACAAAACACACATCTTCACTTCCTCGGCTGAACACCACCCAGCTGTAATTCAATCAGATGACATATTGAAGAAGAAAGATGGCAATGGAAAACAAGCCAGCCGGCAACCAGCAAGACACAAGCACAGTGATTAGGTCTCGCAGCGCTGCTGTGATTGCACGTCATTGAACCTCTCCAACCATATCTGCCTCGCTTCATTCAGTCTATACTGCAACACCACTATTACCTTTAAACCTCAAGCCTGACACGTTCAGGTGTAGATCCCATGCTAGATGCACGGATACAAGTCAGAACAGACCATCTCTCATGAGGGATGAGCACTGAATTTGATATTAAAACCTAGATGTAGGCAGCACACACACACACACACACACACACACACAACTCACTCCAAAGGCATGCCTCTCTTTTCTTAAGTCAATCTACCCACACGAGCTCTGTGATCATCCCTCCGCCATCGCTACCTGCACGGAGGACCCTTTGATTTGACGTCTTATCAGCATTCATTCCTGCAAATGCTGATAGCCGTCCTTAAAGACCATACGACCACGATTTGTTTGTAAAGTGAGCAAGGGAAGCCCGGGATGTGTTTTTAATGAGAGCCAGGTCCGGCGCCCCCCTCCTCTTCTTCTTCTTCTCTTTTGATATTCACTGAAGAATCCGCCAATTAGCTCTCTTCCTCGGCTACCTGCTTTCAGGAGACACCCTGACTTCTCCCGCATAACAACCCCCCCACGGCCAATTAGAGCGCCCGTTTGCCACCGTTGGTCCTGTCAGATGTTTCTTCTTTTTCTTCAAACACGTGCCACAGGCTTAATGAAATATACAGCGGCTCGCTTTCCAGGAACATCGGCAAGCAACCATCCGCGAGGCTCACGGTTAATGATTAGTGAAGCCTTTGTAAATCGGTGATGTAGATATGGGTCAATGCCGGGAGGAAAAGCCGGAGTTGAACAATGGGCAATCAAGGAAACAAAAGAGGCCCAATGACCCGGTGGATGGAGGCACCGGAGGAATTATGAAGATAGAAGCCAGTCTATAAGAGAATAGCTCTTTCTATCCATCCAATCACTGTGTCGTCAGAGAGGAAGTGGCTTAAAGCGGACTTCACTTACATAACCGGGAGGGCTGCAATCAAGGACCGAAATCTGAGCAGGCAATCTGCAGCCTTCCCACTTAAACCCCCACCTCCCCTCTAATTATTTCTCCCCCATACTTCCCCTCTTCTCTCCCTTCTCACCTCTCCTCAGCTTCCTCATCAGTAGGATCATGACACCTCACATCATACTTACACAGTCAGGACGGGTCAGGACTAATGGAGAATAGAGGTTAGGTCTGTAACTGCAACGGATGCTTTTAGAAGGACTGCGCAGCCCGTTTGGAGTCACTAAACAACAAGGAAAGGGACTGCAAGGCAAGCAGGGGTTACAATAAAAAAAACACTATCGCTTTAAGTTGAACAGAAGTTTTGCTTCTCAAAGTTTCTCACACTTTCATTTACAGTAACAGGTAGAACCTACAGTGACTCAGTTATAGCCTAATTCCTCATAATGGTGTTTACATACAAAAAAATGCAATGTTCTGCTTTATGTTTGGATGGTTGAGAAGGATTATGATTGCAGGCCCTCTGGAGTGATGAAACCATTATGTTCAAAGTGGCCACTTATGTACTTTGTACGGACTGTAGGCTGAGCCAGTAAAGATTTATTTAAAAAAAGTGTTTTACTGAACTAAAGCGAGGTTATAGCACCGTGAACTGCGGTCTCTCTGCTTTTGAGAGAAACGGTTTTCTCCTGTTTTTGTGTTTGTCTTTATAATTAGCATACTTGCACTTGAGGAAGCCTTTATTTCTGTATTCTTTGTATCTTCGGTTGGCCCACTCTCGACGTCAAGCGGAGGCATGTTGAGAGGAAGAAAATCAAAATCAGCTGAGGAAGATGTAAGAGAGGCTGTGTTTACTTGAGATAAGCGGGTCGCTCCCCGGAACCTCCACGTGAAGCTGATGGACGGCGTGCGGGCCCGTTGTTTGGATAACGCCACGGAGAAGCTATATGTTTTTCAGGGAGCACGGATCTCGATTGGTGCATTTTTATGGACAATCACTGGAGAATCACTCTGGACCTGT